TAATACCCATATTAGAGTATATTTTAAATAGCGTAACACTAAATCCATAAACAAGTATGCTAATGTATGAAGTAGCGCAGCACTGCAGAACACATTGCAGCTTCCAGCACCATAAAATCCCATTTAATTTTGCTTAAAAGTGTTTGATATTGAATGCGCTTTCCACTGGACTGTAATTAACGACATTCTAAACTGCTTACAAGATTCAATTGACTGACAATATTAATCACACATTCACACAGAAATTGGCTATTACGTTTGTTTTTTTCTTCCTTATGTGTTCTTGGCATCTAATCACTGATAAAAACTAAGGAAGCGGTCCTTTTACACCATGCTCCACGGACATTTATTTTCTTAGTGCATTTAGTCTATAAAAATTTTTGCTATTTCTATTGGATTGGGAATGTAAATGTCCGTAGACATGGAATAAAACCAAGTAACAGTATTTCTTTTCAAGAGGAACAGTTTATTCCAGATAATTAAATCTTGGAATGTTCAAAGAAAGCTCAGCAGGAAGCATCAATTAGGTTCTATTAAGGGATGTAGGTTGTTCCTCAGAAAATTATACTGACAAAATAATTTTGTGGAAGCTTTGAAAAGTCATTAATAGTTTCAAAAGTTTTGAACTGGGACATTTTGTAGAAAAAACAAGGAGGTTTAGTTGTATGCTTTAAAATGTAATTTGGGCATTTGCAGATGTATTACTTTTATATTGGCAACACCTTTAACCTTTACATAAGATTGGTGCACATAAGTTCTTATAAATGCTAGAGGACATTGAGGTTTTGTTTTTTGTTTTTGCATTTTCTCAATTTGGAGAAGCGAAGAGTAAAACATAACTGTCAAAACAGAATACATTCAGAAAACAAATCTTCCTAATGATTATAGACTCATTCAGTTACTCATAAATATTATACAGAATATTATACAGAGCTATTTTGTGTACATAGGCCTAGAGCTAGACATACTATCTTATCTTCAATTTATAGCATTTCTCTTGGACTTGCAATATAACAGATAGTATGTTTTAGCATGATGAATTAGCAATATTAATTTACTTTAGAATTCCTAAATTATTTTGCATAGTAAGTTGCTACTTACATTTGGAAGTTTATAATATAAAATTGAAACAGAAAGATGAATAAGAGAATAAATAAGTGGGTTATTTGGGTTTGAGACTAGTCTCTGCCAGTCCCTAGGCATGAAATAAGTCACTACTTTCCTCATTTACAAATTGAGATTTAAGGAGGAAGCCTTGCTAAACCACATGGTCATTATAATAGTTAAAGCGTTTTTCTTAAAAATTTTTTTTTCCTTAGTAAGATTTTATTGCCAGCATAGTTCTTTGTAGCCAAAGGAACAGCTTGCATCACTTAATAATGCCTGATATGATATTTGAGTATTCCCTTTTTGTGCTCAGCTCTGGGACTGTGTGGAGTTCTTGGAGATCAAGATTCCACCAATCCCAACTGATTATTTAAGGTCTAGGAGGATTCTTAAACCATTCCGATCTGTTTCCATGCTACGGTATTCAACCAGACAGTCAGAGAATTTATTAGTGTAGATGTAATAACTGAACACAAAATGCTAAACATTGAGTTTTGGATAGAACCTTCTTTTGATCCATTTCACTTAAACAAAACTGTTTACGACTGAATGTAGTAATGGGAAAATATTACCTCTATTGTAAATGTAGTGTTTCTACCCTCTAATTTCCTTCTTAGACTTACACTGTATCATTATAAAAAAGAAATTTATTCACATATTTATTTATCATTTTTACTATAGTCAAATACTATAAAAATACAAGAGCGCAGATATGTACAGGCATAAACCTAAATCATGGTAAATTGTTACCAAACTGTACCTTTAACTATTAAATGTTTTGTGAAAATAATTGCAAAATTGTAAAGTATACTTAATAAAGTGTTACCTGAAAAACCTGCATAGAAAATTGAATATGTAATAACTCTTAGTATTATAAAACATTTGAGAAGAAATTCTGTTATTGGTAGAATTTTTCTGTTGTAGAACATTTTGATTCATTTTTGTTTTTATATTTTCTAATAACTCACCTTCAGTGTTTCTCAAGTATGTGACATCATGGACATTCAGCACTGTCTGCTGACACATTACACTTTGGAGGAGAATCACACTAGTAACAACATATGATGCTGTCCTTAATCACACAGTAGTCTTCCTACCTTCAATGCATCAAGCATTTGTGTGTTCTATGATATCATAATACTACAGGGCAATTTGCTATTCTCTGTATTACATATATGTTTACTTTGAAACTTGAAGAAAACAACAATAAAAATATAAGGAGAAAGATATTTTCAGTAATGCAATACACATGTCAAATTTTGTTTTGCTATCTATTTGGTAAGAAACCTACAATTGTTATTTCTTTAAGTGTAAGAAATTGACAAAAGTGTGATAGAAAACATGTTAAATTTTTTACTGCCTCTTTGATGTACTAGAATATGATTTCAAACCTAAGTGAAAGAAATTGAAATGTGCCTGCTGAATAACTAAGGTTGTGCCTAGAGTTGTCTAAACCTAAATTCTCCATGTGAAACCATTTCTTGGAGTTGTTTTCTAAAGCCCTGGCCGGCTTACTTTGGACCTACTTGAAGTCTGAGAATAACCAATATTCACACAAAGATTTTGAAACAAAGGAAATTTTGTGTCTGAATGAACGCTTAAGCAAAAATACTTTTATTTTTCATCCTGGCAAAATTCCTAAGATTTAATGAAGTGAAACAATTAAAAAAAAAGTCCAGTGATGTGAGAACAGAAAGACTATGTCTAAAAATAGCCTAGAAAGCTAACTACTTTGCTTTTCCACACAATAGCCAGACTTGAATGTTGCCCTTGATATGAACAAAAGAATCAGCATCCAGCTTGCCACTGTGATTATAGATTTTTGTATAGCTGTGGTCCCAAACTAACCAAATTTAATGATGTTATTCTGAAGGAAGTTAATTAAATGCAGTCAAGGTTAGATTTTCCCATCATATGCTTGTTTCAATACATATATACAATGGAAGAGTCCAAGGCTGTTTTCCAGAAATGTAAATACCTAAAGGACTTTGTCAGCAGTAATGTGAGCTTGTCCAGTTTTGCTTCCCTAAATCATTAGCAAGGTGACCGTCAGCTCTTCAGAGTAGTTATTAAATGCTAGCACTACCTCTGAGCAGAGATTATGCTAGTATTTTATATACTTTATGATTTATTCCTTTAGGAACCCTCCAAATAAGTAGATGTTATTTTTCCAGCTTTATTTATAAAGATCTGAGTTTCAGGTCATCACCTCTTCTAAAAGGATGCGGCTAGGAAACCAGATTTAAAATTCAAGATTGAATGACTTCAAATCCATTGTTCATGCCCTCGTGTTCACATTCTGTTACACTTTAAAGGGGAAACTTAAAAATATAGCTGTCCAAATCATCACTATGGGTAGAATAAGGCTAATCATCATCCCTAAAGAGCTAGACGTAAGTCAAAAAATTGAAAGAAGAGATTGAATGAGTATGTTATAGTCTTCAGCTCAAATTTGAGATTCTTGGTTGTGTGATATATTTTGAAAGCTTGGTTTTCCAAAATTTTTATCATGACAAAATTGATTTAGAAAGGGATTAAGTGATCAATTTTTATTTAATTACCCAGTGACATTATCCTCCCTTGATCTAATCCTGGATAGTTTAGTTCAGTACCTATGAAAATGAATTATCAATTTTCTCCGTCTCTGTGATGCTATCTGAACTTATAAGGCTGTTATATTACAAGGCTGATAACCAGGTCTTCTTTATCGATGTTTTTTCTTTGTAGGTTTTTAAATTTTTCTTTTTTCTCTTTCATCATTTCACTCATTTAAAGTTGACCACTGACAGTACATAAGCTCATGGTAAATAGTCATGATCAGTGAAACATTTGGAAAAATAATTTAAACTTTTTACAGAAATATAGAGTTGTGTTTATTTTAATAATTAAAATGTGTGTTAGATTTTCTTGGTTATACACTATAAACATTACCAGATACATTAGCAAACACATACTCTACAAAGAATTTGTGCCTTGTCTTGTGGATTTTTCACATTCTATATCTTTAACACCAAATGACTTGAGTGAATAAATGCAAGGAGCAAGAATTGTTTCCTTTCTATCTACCTACATGTGCTCATTGAACACAGAATGCTAATTTTATCTATGAAGTCTTATTTTGCCAAGTATAAAGTACTTTTTCAATGCTTTTGGTGAAGTTAAGACAGTAAATAAAATGGATTTAGTACTTTTGGCTTTGTTTTTTCTAGTAAACATACCTCCCATTGTAGGTTTTACAATTATAGTTACTAAATGTAGTATAAATATATTACATTGTTTTTTATTAAAGATGTCAGCTTTAGCAAGAATTTAATTAGGTGTGCATTTTTTTTTCAGGCTCCCAATTGCATTTTTGATGAACTCCTTAGATATTCAATTAATGTGAATGATTTGCATAAATTGCATATATACTCTATGGGCTACTGCAGAATCACTTGATATATTCCTTGCTATATTAATGGTTCCATTTACTGTTTTATGAGTGGGAAATGAAATTATGTAATTGGAAAGTGGTAAGTTACTTTATTGCACATTAGTTTAGGATAATTATCAGCATGTTGAATTATGCATTGAATTGCAATTGAGAGTATAACATTATAATAACAACCAAAAATAGTTAAATTGTCTTGGAAGCTATTGATTGCAATGGAAATGAGCATTGAAAGATATTTTTGTAACTCATAAACAGTGTTTTCCTTTTGATAACTATTTCTTTCTTGTTCCTTTTTTTTATTTTTATTTGTTTTCTATTTTTTTATAATTTGCTGCTTGCCATTGAAGGAAGTAGAGGTTTGTATACAACTTCTGTGTTTTATATATTATTCTCTATTTTATATAAATCCCTACATTGAAATTACTCATTTACACTCAATTCACATTATTTTTCCCCCTAGGATGATTATTTCCGCACGTGGAGTCCAGGAAAACCCTTCGATTTAGGTAAGAATTCAATTATTTTACAAATCATTAAATGTATAATCAGTATACTTTAAAAATTACAGTTATTGTTGGGTTTGGCATTAAAATCGAAGCATATATATGAATGGAAATATCATAAGGTAATTATGTTTATTTCAAGCACAATATAGAAATGACCTAATTATGACTATATCAAGGTATAATGTAATCTTTTATTTTTAGATACATGATTTATATTATTTGTTTGGGCTTTTGAACTTTGCTATAAACATTTTTGTTTCTTGATACGAAGAGCTTCATTAAGTTTTTAAGTGCATTTTCTGGGAAATAAATTTATTTTTACAAAATTTCAATACAGCTTTTCAGTCTCCTTTGCAGTTCATAAAAGATTTCATTGAGAGTATACTGATAATTACACTCAACTGAAGTCTGAACAAGAATCTTGAGAAAAACTTTATGTTGATTTAGGATCTCTCATCTCAGTGCACACAGCTAGCAGTTTTGGTTATCTGGTCTTTGGAAGGATAAGCAGGGCTCTTTGGTGCTCTGGAAAATCTTCTACATATACAGTGAAAATGGAACCATCAAACAATGCAATCAGAACTGTATGGATGAAGAGATTTGTGTACTACATTACCTGATATTAGAGCTTATGAATCTTCCTTTTAAGGTCTGAAACAAAAGAACATTCTGGTTTACATGGGCTAAATAATACCCTTGCAAAGACAGCAGTCAAGGAATTGGTACTTGTTATGTATTAATCAGTTTTCAGATACTAAACACAATACGTGATGTAAATAACTTATGAAGAGAAAATATTTATTTTGGCCTATACTTCGGGGTATTTCTGTCTTAGTTTGTCTGATTTCTTTGCTTTAGCCATCTGGGAAAGTAATTATACCATGATAAGGGCACATGGAAGAGCATACTGCTTGCATCATGCTCCAAGAAGCAAATAAGGGAAAGGAGAGGAACTAGAGTCTCAGTGTTAACTCAGGGAGCATGAACACAGTGCTTTAACAACCTGACCAAAGGCCTCACCTCTTTAAGTTTCCATCACCTCCCGATAGCACCCTACCCCAATGGGATCCAAGCTTCAAACATGGATATTTGAGGGATAGTCAACCTTCAATTTGTATCATTTTACAAATAGAAAAAAAAATTAAAATGTCTAGAGAGTTGAATGAATGGTAGTTTTATTAATTAATATTGCTTAGAGTTATTGCTGTTACTAAAGTCCTTTTGCTTATTAACTGGGGACAGTGTCAGAAAAGCAAAACTCCATGAGAGAAAACCTAATTGCACAGTTCTAGACATGGACTGTATTGAACATCCATATCAATATAGAATGAGAAACAGTCATTCACATCCATTATGTCTTTTAATTAGTTTCTTTCTTACATACTTCATGCCTTTTAAATATTGGTGGATATTTTTATTTTTGGACTACACAAAGTAGAATGCTAAAAATTAGTCTTGATATGTGTTACAAATAAAACATGCCAATATGCTAAAAGAGAAGGAATGGGAGAATATAACGACATACACAATGAGTTGTATTTACATACTTTCTTGGGAAATGAATTTTTATAATGAAATATAAACCTTGAAACTGAGCATTATCTCTGAAATGGATGTTAGCAGTTAAGTTTGCCATAATAAGCACATCCAGTTATGATAAAGTCACTTTGATTTTTACTTTCTGTGTGTAACGTGCGACAGTGTGTTGAATTTCAACTCGTCTCTCAGTTATTAAAACAAACAAAAGGATTTCTATAACAGAGTGTCTTAATCACTTTCTTGTGGCTGGGACACAATAGCAGATACCAATAAATAAATGAGCAAACTTTATCTTGGCTCACAGTTTGCAAATGTTTCAGTGCATCATCTCTTACCTCCAAGGCAGGGTGGAAGGTAGATGCACCTGGTGGAGGAGAGCTGCTCATGGCAAAGCGGGCAGGGAGCAGAGGGTCAAGGGAGAAGCCGGGAAAGGAGACATGACTCTCCAGGCCACTTTCCCAGGGAGCTACTTCTTCCACCTCTGCAAGCCAGTTATAAACCTTGTGACACACTCACATTCCAAAACCCTCTCGTGTGGTGTTATGAGAATTTACAGGGTCATATAGATTCTAAAAATTAATTTTCACTAAAATTAATTTTGACAATCAATAATGCCAACACACAGAAAAACAAGAAATAAAACACAATGACATACAGACTATAATGTGTTTATGCACTTTTTGGGAAATCAATTTTTATGATGGAATCATAAACCTTAAATTTCAGTTATTTTTGAAATGAATATTAATGCTTATATTTTCAATGATCAGTGCATCCAAATGGTAATAGAGATACTTTGATCTTGACTTTCTGTGTTTGTGAATTCCAACTCGTACCTCATTTATCAATGGCAAGATAACTATAAAAGCACATACCATAGCCAAGTATGACTCGTTGCTTTTAATTTTGAAAAATTTATAAACTAATTTCATAAATAGATCATATTTATTATATAAGGAAAAGCTTAACATGTGATGACAACTAGTATTTATGAAGAATTATAATACTGAATCACTATTTAATCTGTCTATCAATATAAATATGTTTGTTTAATCTTCCCACTGGTCTTATGAGTTAGGTTAGGAAATTGCAGTGCCAAGAAATTTAAGTTTTTGACCAGGCAATAGTCTTAATAACCAAATGACAGAGTCAAAATTTGGGTTTATACTATTAGAAACCTAAAGCCCCCTTCCTAACTACTACTATGACATGCTACTAATACTCATATGCTAGTACCAAAAAAAAAAAAAAAAAAAAAAAAGCCCTATTTAAAAATACATTTTTAGTACAAGTTAGTTATGGATCTTGCTAGGGTCTCTGTGGCATTTGCATAGTGCATTTTCATGTTTCATATGTGACTTTGGGCATAATCATTCAAAGATTAGTCTTTAAAAATGAAATACTTACTTGGACAAACATTGTAAACAGAGCTATTACATGTATTTCTATGGGTGAACATATTATTTTTTAGAAAATCAGATCATGGAAATTGTTGGATATTTATGCCTCGTAAAGATAGGTGAAAATGTTATATAAAAACAGACAAAATAAAATTGGGATGTTTCTACTTAATTTTGGATTTGAATTAAGCAAGCTATACATATGAAGACCACATTAGGAAGTAAGTAAAATTCTTTTCCTCCCATAAATCCCTTGACAATTGTAGTGTTAATCTTAACATGTTTCTTGTACTTTCATATAATAGTAACTTCCTCAAGTATCTCCAAACAAATTTAGTAAAATCAATTAATTGTTCCTATGTACCTCATTTAGCTCTCTGCAAACATTTTTAATTTTGATTTAAGATTTTATGCATCAATAACACGCCCATTTTCAGTATTTGTGGAGACAATTAAAATAATAATCATAATTGTATACTAATCTCAAACATTTCAGTGAAATGATTTTGTTTATCACAATCCTGTTGCAAAATGAAAAAGGCACACTGATGCAAAAAATAAATTGCTTTCGAATTTCCACACTGGATTTTTCTCTCCTGTTATTTCTCTTCATTAGTGTGGTTAATCATGACTTGACAGTCAGAAACCAACTGAAAAATAGTTTTAAAAAGGGCATACATCTTCTTGAATAAGGGTTAAACATGTATTTCTTATGGCAAAGGATAAAACATAAATAAACTTAAAGTGGTATCTGATGAAGATTTTAATTGAATAAATCCTTGGATAAATACTCCATCCCAGATAGAGAGAAATTTTCACTTTTTTTTCCTCTTCACTGTTAATCTTGCTTATTTTGAGGCACAGATTTATTAGGATATGTAACAGAAAAGTCACTGCAATTTTAATCAGTGACTCTTAAGAGTTATTCAGTGCATCTGTTTTGAATACATATTGGATCTATCCATAAACTTTTATTCAGAAGTTAATTTTTCCTTGCATATGGTGGATAGCTAAGTGTACTAAGGAGAGCTAGATGTAAGGAAGCCAAATACAGTTTCTCTGTATCCCTTATTTATCATCCAAACAAACTTGGGGTTGCTCCACTTGATAACTACCTGGTAATTCATGATAATTAATAGATTAATAGTTAAACATTGGATTTAAATAGGTCTAGGTATTTTAGATAAAAAGTCCCACACTATTAATTTATTCTCCCTGTTATTGCCAGTTTGAGGCTATGGAATTAGGGATAAGATATGTAGCTGTGACTTAGAAGAGCAACCTTTGGTCTCTTTGCAGTACTTTCTTCATGTCCTGTCTTCCTAAATCAGTACCTCTCTGGAATCCAAACTACTACTGATCCATTAGATTGCATTTAATTGAACAGAAGTACATGAAGGAGAGGTAGGTGAGGAAATCATTCTTAAACTCATGCTGTGAAAATCTAGCCAGAGAAACAATTGTGAACAACTAACCGTATATCTCCTTGAGCCATTCCTGCAAGGATTGAGAGAGAAGGGTATGAAAAGAAAATTCCACAGATGAAAAGACAGACATATGCTTAGCCATATATTTTTCATTGCTTTTGTCTTTTCAAGATAACATTTTTAATCTGGTCCCCATTTTTCCTATCCATTTGCAAAATGTCTTCCATATAACAGTTGCAACCTGGCAAATCCCTTTGAAATGAACCTCTACTACAAAGCAGAAGTAATTGAGAATTCATCTGAAGCTTTTGTTCCCTTCAGTGAACAAAGCTGCTCAGAGTATTGCAATATTTCCAAAATTGAAAAAAAAACAAAAAGCTACTGTTTGAAGAAATGTGCACAGAATTTTCCTTCTCCTTCTTAAATCATAGTTACATACTAAAGCATAAAGGCCACCTGAAGACACATTATGTAGCTTGGACAAGGTAGAAATTATGCTTTAACTTGTTTTTCATGAGTGCCATGTTTTCCGTACTCTTAGTTGCCATTCATTGATGGTATTCTAAAACAATAGCTATGCCTGATCCATGCTTCACAATAGAGGCATAGTTGTGTCATAATGCTTCTTTGTTTA